TTGTTCAGTAACTGTCATCTATGAAGATTGTTAATCAAAGCTGTGTACATAAACCACTACTTGAATAATAACACTATGATGTTTTTTTGGAAAGTTTCAGTAATAAATTTCAGTCGTTTATGCTCAAAGAATCCTGACTTGTTGTACTTCATTAATCGTGTTTCAGTTCTGTTCTTTTCTATGCCATTAGGATGTTACCAATAGATTAATGAATACATTAATGAGGATTAAGATATTTTTCGTGTGGTGTACCCCAACTGTTCAACTGATAATAAAAATAACTTTATGCATGATGATCAAATGGTATACTGTACAAATTCACTTTGATTTAGATTGCCATTCTGTTTTCCCCTGTTTGCTTTTTTTGTAAATGGGAATGTCTGTTAATCATTAATTTACTTGAACCTTGATTTTTCCGATTATATTTGTGACCTTACTTGTGTTAACGTGACTTTACCTTCTGAACATGATTCATACAAGTAATGAAATTGAATGATTTAATGTTTTTGTGGGTTAAAAATGAAGAGTGTTCGATGTGATTATGCTGTTTTTTTATTTTGAGTACTACTCGGATCTATTCATCTTTTAGAGAATATCTTGTGCTATATGAACTTTCTAGTTTAAAGCATTGTACGCAAAAAAATTTGTTATTTTATATTTTCCAGTATTACAATTGTTATACTCGTCTCTAGTTATGCTTAAAACTCTTTACGGTTCACCTTAGTTGAATAACGAGAACAAAACAATGAACCAGAGTCCAGGTAGGCTACTGTGATCTGATTGTCCCAGTTGTACCAGCAATAAGTCTTGATACAACGTAGAAATTGTATTCTACAAACACCCATTAAGCATATAATGAATTCAAGCACTCAAATTACGTCTATTTATACGCCATAGAGATGTCCTTGGGACAGTCACAAAAATAACCCACTAAAATGACACAGTAACCAATCACAGCCAAGAATTTTCGTGGTGGGAAAGGTCAACTGATCGGTCCATGATATAAATCCAAAATAAAGATATTTATCAAGCGAGTTCTGGCGATCTAACATCCCCAACAACAATTTTAGTAATTTTTTAAAATGAACACTTTTTTTAACAAAATTCTAATTGAATTACCTAAGATCCAATCAGATTAAAACACCGGATTTTTTACATGTCACTTTGTATGGTTTTATGATAGTGTAATAGTATTGACAATGTTATTCAATAAGGTTTTCAGTTATTTTATGTTTCCAACGTATTTAATTGTCGTATAAATGTTGTTAAAAGGAAAAGGAAACTAAATACATTCTGTTTATTTTCAATAATCGGATAAAGGCAAGAAGACAAGGTCATTGGATTTAGTTTTTAGTTGAGACAAACAATACTTTGAGTAAACGTCCTCCTACTTCCGCGTAGATTAAATTTTAACAGACTAACATTTTCACATGAATGAGATCAATGATCGTAAACGAAATTCCAGTGCTCCGATACACTGATTCAGTTTAATATACTTTCTGGTTGCGTTATTAATGTGCTAACCGTTAATATTGTCCATTTAAGGGATTAACTGTTCTGTATGCAAACAACATGGCAAAGTTGTCTGAATTTGTGAAGATTAACAGTTTCACTAGATAATCTATGCCTAACAATGATTACTTAATAATCTCGTTATAAGTGAGTAATTTACAATATTTATTAATCTTTTGTTGGGGATGTTAGATTCCCAGAACTCGCTTGATAAATGCCTTATTTTGGACTTCACGTTTGCCAGCATGAGCTGATCAATCGATCTTGAGATTTCATTTCCCACCAGGAAAATCCGTGGCCGTGATTAGCTGCTATGTATTTTAGTGTGCTATTTTTGTGACTGTCCTAAGGACGTTTTATTGATGTATAAATAAATGAGAGTTGTGTGGTTGATCACATTGTTCTTGCTGGGTGTTGTAGAATATACTTTCTATGCTTATCAAGACTTCTGTTTTGCGGTTTGAGATCAGGGTAGACTATCTAGACGCTGGTAATTGTCTCGTTCGCGTTTATCGACTATGGTGAACTCGTAATAGCTTCAGTCAGTCAGTCAGTCAGTTGCAACGTAGAACTTCGTACGTATGTACATAAGTTCATGTTGCCATACCATATTAACACAGAGACGCAAATGTCAAATCAAATCCCATAGTGATAAAGATAGTAGAGGTATTAATGGTAATAAAGAAGACTAGGGTTCGAAGATATTATTCAAGAAATATAATTCAGTGAGATAAGGTTAGAAAGACAAAGGTAGATGTGCTGACGAATCCAGAAGATTAGGATTTGAGAGAGCTCAAAGAGTGGATGCACCTGTGCCATTACAAACGATTTTGAGCCACATTGTTCAAGGTCTCTAACCATTGATGACTTTCGTCTCGCGGACCCCAACCAGGTAGTCTACATCTACCAACAAGACTCAGTCCATTTGGCAATGACTCCATAGATTTGTGCCACGTTTTGGTCAGGACGCCCCTAACTTTCTTCCAACCTACTCCTATGCCACAAAACATAGCTCGTCTAGGTAGTCGGTGGTTAGGTATACGTAATACATGTCCCCACCACCTCAATCGATGAAGCCTCATTTCATCTGTTGATGTGCCGTCCTTACCTAGTAACCATTTCCTAACAACAGCATTGCTTACTCGGCTGTCCCACGATATACGAGCAATGCTTCTTAAACATCTATGATCGAATACTAGTAACCTACGAACATCTTCTACTCCTTACTGGCCATGTTTCACAGCCATATAAGAGAACGGAACGAACTGCTGCGTAATAGCTTCAAGCGTACCTAGTGACGAACTTAACATTTTTCCAATTACAGTTATGAAGATTAGTGTTTTTTGCACACTGGAATCAGTAATCAATCCTTATTAGACCACCATTAGAAACCTGGAAGCACTGGATGGCCACTTCGTCTTGGTATGGGACTCATCGACAACGTGTATCCACGACTCCTGCACCTCGCAGGATTCGAACTCAGGACCTTCGTTCTTGCGCACGAACGCCTACACGCTGTCCGGTGTAGGCGGTAACTACCAAAGACAAATGGGTGAGGTCGCTCCAAATCTTTAAATCCATCAGAGTTAGACATTAACAGCGTTTGATGCTGGTTCAGTAGTCCACAGGTTAGGCGTTCGCGCGCAAAACCGAAGGTCCTGTGTTCGAATCTTGCGAGGTGCAGGAGTCGTAGATGCGCACTGCTGATGATTTCCATGCCAGAATGAAACGGCTGTTCAGTGCTTCCAGGTTTCTAATGGTGGTCTAGAAGTGATTGATTGATGATTTCAGTGTGCAACAAATATATATTAAACTCTTCCATAGTATTTTATTGAATTAATAAAAGTAACTAATGAAAATCATATTCATATACTATTCAACAGTGAATTGTCATTTAGGTCAAAATTAAAAATTCAACTATTGTTCTCACTGTGTAAAATGATATTCTAGTCAATGAACTTATTCATAATATATTTTTTAAGTGAACATAAATATTTTCATGCCATTTTTTTGATTAATTTCACATTGAATTAGCATGATAGTTTTTTTTTTCTGTTTTTTTTATTGTTGTTGTTCATTATTTAAATGTACGCATTAATTAATGAGTAAAACTCATTAATATGCTTTATTGAATATTGATCTATTTCTCCGCGTTTCATTGATCAATGATTCTTGAATGAACTGATTATTATGATTATTTCTTCATGAATGTTTATTTCGTTTAGAAATACAAAAATTATTGTTTTCATGATAACCTTAATATATTGTTGGAATCGTTTCACAAGTTCTAACAATTTTGATTAAGAAGAGGAAAACTACAGTTTTTGTAGTTGATTTTTTGTAAAGATTGTATACAAAATTTGTAGTTCTCTTTATTAAAATCGATAGTCAGAGGTTACCAAACATTTGCTTTGTTCTAGGTTCGAAACTCTCATTCGTGCACACTCACAATTAGATAGTAAATCAAATGTAAAGCCTTTAAACACATTGATGAGCATCATTCCTTAAAGCAAGTGCGCTGAAAATCGCCTTGGTAACAATTTCAACCTTAGTCCTGCATTCAATCATACATAGGTTTCATAATATGCTCTATGCTGAATAATATCACACTGGCATGCTACAAAAATGTTACGTTCTCACTTATTTTTATTTACTTCTTCAACCGATGCTTCTACTCTGGCTGTGAAACATGGCCAATCAGAGGAGTAGAAGATATTCGTAGGTTGCTGCTTTTCGATCATAGATGTTTGAGAAGCATTGCTCGTATATCACTGGACAACAGAGTAAGCAATGCTATTGTTAGGAAATGGGTCCTAGGTAAGGGTAGAAGGTCAGTAGATGCAGTATTGAAACTTTGTCAGTTGAGGTGGTTGGGACATATGTTGCATATGCCTAACGACCGACTGCCTCGTCGAGCTATGTTTTGCGGTGTAGAAATAGGTTAGACGAAAGCTAGTGGCGACCAGACCAAAACATGGAGTCACTGACAAGTGGACTGAGTTATGTTGGTAGGTGTTGACTACCTTGTTGGGGTCCGCGAGATGATAGCAATCGATGGTTAGAGACCCTCAATGACATGGCTCAAAATCGTTTGCATTGGCGCAGGTGCATTTATTCTTTGTGTTCTCTGAAATCCTAACCTCTTGGATTCCTCATCACATTTATCTGTTTCTTTTCAAGTTTATTTCACTAGATTCTACTTCTTGAATGATATCGTTGAACCCTAGTCTCTCCGATTACTGCTAATACTGTTACTAACTCTACTACTATTATTTGAAGTAACAATTTCATTTCTGTGCTAATATGGTACGGCAACTTGAACTGATGTACGTACTTGCGTACAAAGTTCTACGTTGCTGTTGATTGACTGATTGAATGATATATTTTTGCTATAGAAATAAATACCAAGTTACACTCTATGCAACATGATTGTCAAATGTAAAAAAACTAATAACAAAAACCATATATTTTTTTTTCATACAATCTAGGTTTCAGATAAAAGTGAATCAGAGAGAATTAAACCAGAAAAATCATCCACACGTCCATCATCTACGCTTTCATTATCACAAAATAATAATTCAACGTCAAGCATTCGTCATAGTTCACCAGTATACAGTAATCGATCAATCAATAACCAGATAAATGGTGATGATTCATTTACTCGTGAAAATTCACTTTCAAAAGAATCCAATAAATCCATTCCAACAACTATAAATGATAATAATTCAGATATTATTAGTAATAAATCAACTGTAGTCTCTGGAGGACGTCGACGTGTTCAACACCATGATTCGCTTAGTTTTAGTGCACGTGCAAAAATAGTGAATGATTTATGAGATGAGATGAGATGAAATGATGGAATGAAAGTTCCCTCCTTTTTTTGTTTTCATTATTTCATATGAACAGAGTGATATCATGATTAAATTATCATCAATACAAGCTGTGCATTGAACTGATCAATAATTATTTGTTTGTTTGTGCAAAGTTTATTCAGAGAAATTTTGTTTTGTTTTGTTTTTTTCTTTCTTTTCTAATCTAATATTATTATCCATTTTTTATTTTTATTCTTGCATTATTTTAGTCATATATATACTACTATTAATATTTTCATTATTTTGTATAATAAAGATCTTTATCATTATGAATCATTGTTCAATTCATTTGTATAAACGTATAGATATATCGTTTATATTGACCAATTGAAAATGAAGGTGAGATTTCGACCAACTGATTGAGTGCAAATAGAGAAAAATTATATAATTCAGTAGTAGTTTCTCATAAGTAGTAGTACAATGTAGCAACGCCTCATAAGTGTCACAAAGAGGATAGAATTTAATTTCTGCAGTGTACTAATACTTAACTCCGCCAGTAGAACCTTAGGGGCTACTGCCGGTCCCAAGCCCGGATAAAGGAGGAGGGTTGGACATGGGGTTGGCGACCCCATTCCGTTGAAATCTCACTTGCCAAAAAAACGCTAACCAGAAAAAATAATTCAAACCATTTTAACTCTGCCCCGGGAGTTGGAACAAGAATTATGACGTCTTGTGATGAAAGCCGAGTTCCCTCGGAAGTCACGGGGCCGATGCCTCTTCTGACAACCAGAGCAACCATTTTTTAGGTACATGGAACGTCCGTACATTGTGGGAGACTGGAAGACTATTTCAAGTTGCGGCAGAAATAAAAAGATACAACCTCGAGGTGCTCGGCATCAGTGAAACGCATTGGACACAGGTAGGACAACTGAGACTAGCTTCAGGGGAACTGCTGTTATACTCTGGTCATGAAGAGGAAAACGCTTCACATACACAAGGAGTTGCACTGATGCTGTCCAAACATGCACAAAAGGCACTGATAGGATGGGAATCTCATGGGCCGAGGATCATTGAAGCATCCTTCAAAACAAAGAAAGAGGACATTACAATGAACGTCATCCAATGTTATGCACCTACCAATGACTACAGTGACGACGTTAAAGATCAATTCTACGAAAGGCTGCAGTCAATCGTCGATAAATGTTCACCAAAGGATTTGACGATTCTTATGGGAGACCTGAATGCCAAGGTTGGAATGGACAACACTGGATATGAAGACATCATGGGACGACATGGACTGGGAGAAAGGAACGAAAACGGTGAGAGATTTGCAAACCTATGTGCCTTCAACAAACTGGTCATCGGTGGCACAATATTCCCGTACAAACGCATACACAAAGCCACATGGATTTCACCGGACCACACTACTCAAAACCAAATTGACCATATCTGCATCAACAAAAAGTTCAGAAGGACCATGGAGGATGTGAGAACCAAGAGAGGAGCTGATATAGCTTCAGATCACCACTTGCTGATCGCCAAAATGAGATTGAAGCTAAAGAAGCACTGGACAACGGGGCAGACAACATCACAGAAGTTTAATACAGCCTTTCTTCGGGATACCGTAAAACTCAACGAATTCAAGATAGCCCTCACCAATAGGTTCCAGGCCTTTCAGGATCTACTCAAAGGAGATGAAGCAACATTGAAGAACAATTGGAAAGGGATTAAGGAGGCAATCACTTCAACATGTCAGGAGGTCCTTGGTCGCAAGAAGCACCATCACAAGGAATGGATCTCTGTTGGTACTCTTGAAAAAATTCAAGAAAGGAGGAACAAGAAGGCAGCTATCAATGTCTGCCGAACAAGAGCAGAGAAAGTTAAGGCGCAAGCCGAATATCCAGAAGCAAACAGGGAAGTGAAGAAGAGCATCAGAGCTGATAAACGAAAATATGTGGATTATCTAGCAATGACGGCGGAAAAGGCTGCAAGAGAAGGAAACATGAGACAATTGTACGAAACAACAAAGAAGCTCGCCGGGAACTATCGTAAACCAGAACGACCAGTGAAAAACAAGGAAGGCAAAGTAATCAGCAACACTGAACAACAGCGAAATAGGTGGGTAGAGCACTTTAAGGAACTCCTAAATCGACCAGCTCCTCTGAAGACACCCAACATCGAAGCAGCATCCACGGACCTCCCAATTAATATTGGCGCACCTACGATTTAGGAGATCAGTATAGCCATCAGACAAATCAAGAACGGCAAAGCAGCAGGACCAGACAACATTCCAGCAGAGGCAATGAAAGCAGATGTGGAAGCAACTGCGAAAATATTTCACATTCTCTTCAAGAAGATTTGGGATGAGGAACAAGTACCATCAGATTGGAAAGAAGGATGCCTGATCAAAATACCAAAGAAAGGCGATCTCAGCAAGTGTGAGAACTACAGAGGCATCACTCTTCTTTCAATACCAGGCAAAGTCTTCAACAGAGTATTGTTAAACAGAATGAAGGACTTCGTAGACGCCCAACTTCGAGATCAACAAGCCGAATTTCGTAAGGATCGATCGTGTACTGACCAAATTGCTACATTACGGATCATTGTGAAACAATCAATTGAATGGAACTCACCACTCTACATCAACTTCATCGACTACGAGAAAGCATTCGATAGCGTGGATAGGAAAACACTGTGGAGGCTTCTTCGACACTACGGTGTGCCTGAGAAAATAGTCAACATCATACGGAATTCTTATGATGGATTTAACTGCAAAATCGTACACGATGGACAGCTAAAAGACTCGTTTGAGGTGAAGACCGGTGTCAGGCAAGGTTGCTTACTCTCACCCTTTCTCTTTCTCCTGGTCATCGACTGGATTATGAAGACGTCAACATCTGGAGGGAAGCACGGTATCAACTGGACAGTTAGGACGCAGCTGGACGATCTGGACTTCGCAGATGACCTGGCTCTTCTATCGCACACTCAACAACAAATGCAAGAGAAGACGACCAGTGTAGCAGCAGCCTCTACAGCAGTAGGTCTCAACATACATGAAGGAAAAAGCAAAATTCTCCGATGCAACACAACATGCACCAACCAAATCACGCTTGATGGAGATGCTTTCGAGGACGTTAACAACTTTACATATCTGAGCAGCATCATCGACGAGAAAGGTGGATCGGACGCAGATGTGAGGGCGCGGATTGGCAAAGCGAGGGCTGCATTTCTACAGTTGAAAAATATCTGGAACTCCAAACAACTTTCAAACAAAACCAAAATCATGATTTTCAATACAAATGTCAAGACAGTTCTACTGTATGGAGCGGAAACTTGGAGAACTACCAAAGCCATCATTCAGAAGATACAAGTGTTTATTAACAGCTGTCTACGCAAAATACTTCGTATTCGTTGGCCAGACACCATCAGCAACAACGAACTGTGGGAGAGAACAAGTCAGATTCCAGTGGAGGAGGAAATCAGGAAGAAGTGGTGGAAGTGGATAGGACATACACTACGAAAAGCACCCAACTGCGTCACTAGACAAGCCCTCACATGGAACCCTCAAGGCAAAAGGAAAAGAGGAAGGCCAAGGAACACATTACGCCGAGAAATAGAGAAAGATATGAGAGGAATGAACAAACATTGGACAGAACTGGAGAGGGAAGCCCAGGACAGAGTTGGTTGGAGAAAACTGGTGGGCGGCCTATGCTCCATTGGGGGTAACAGGCGTAAGTAAGTAAGTAAGTACTAATACTTACTGGTCTTATTTGTGTAACTAGTTCTAAAGGAGAAGAGTAAGCACAACGATCAATAAAAAATAAACAAGCATCTAAGTTATTCTACTTGGCGATATGAAGATGCGTAGTTCTTTATTGTCTAATCATTCAAATTAATCACTTATTCACTTGCTTACTTACACCTATAAACCCCCAATGGAGCATAGGCCACCGATTAGTTTTTTCTCCAACTAACCACTTATTCACATTCTTTAATTAATAATATACGATCAATATTGAAAAATAATCTAATTTTTATACATATGCAAATGTAACCTTTTAAATGTATACTCTGAATAGTAATGTTAATAAAGATGTCACATCTCTTATGTAGTCCGTGGTGTGTTTTTTCTTTACATTAAGTTCAAGTACTAGGTCTGATTAAAGAAACTCAGAGTTTAAAGAAAAGATGGCATTCAGATTCACAATACGGATAATCTATGATTATTCATTTGCAAAAGTTGGTTTTAACTATAGTTGGAATTATAGTTTCTAATTCATTTTACATGCCTGAAAATTCTATTCATGCAATATGTTCAGAAGATGATCATCTTACCTAGCGTATTCTAAATGAAACTTGACTCATAAACTGATAGGTGGATTGTTAAAGTATCAAACGTTTTGCTGCACAAATAGGATATGTAACAGAAAGAATGAAGGGAAGATGAGGATGATTGTACATGAAATTACTCGAACATCTAGGACTTAAATGTTTAAAATAAGTTTCGATCATAATAATAAATGAAAACTTATCCGATGAGATTTGTTGCTAGATTTACTGCCTATATATTGAGTAGAGTGAATGAATGTAGCAATTACTTGAATCGAAATCATATGAGACAGTTTTGACTATGGACAGCTCTTCTACTTTGCGTAAAAGTAGTTGAGCAGCATGATGTCAATTGTTTCCATGTAGGGTTAATGTTATATTCGGAAGAAAATTCAAAAAACAGTAACTCGTCGGACTAACTTATGAATTACCATCATATATATTGTCATTGTCTAATAATTAGGTAACTAGATTATTACATATTGATATTTATTTTGTCGTACACCTTTGCTAACTCTATTGTGTGATTTATTACTGCTAACCTTTCGCTTGTTTATTATATACAGCTTCCTCTATTCACAGCCAATTTTGTCTTGCTCATGTGTAAATGCATTTTTCCATTCTATGTGTGATGTGGTCTTGTTATTTTGGAGTATAAATTAAGTTTGCTAAGATATAACTAATTTTATGGAGGCTGGCTGCGGAATTTTTGTGAACCGATAACGATTTAGAGTCGATTGAAGGTTTCTAGTACTAAGGCTTAATTTTTATCAGTGTTTTGTATTTGTTACGTGATAGTTATCGGTCAACAGTTAGGGATACAACAGAATATACCGGCATATATTCGATAATAAGTATATTTTTAAATTGATAAGACCGCCTTCATCCAGTTAGATCATTTTTGTAAATTCACTAGGGAATTCCATAAGACCGCAATTATTATAGGTCACCGTATAAACTTAAAAAAGCTTCATAGTGACCAAACTAAGACTTGCAATTGTTCT